TCTCTCTCTCTCTCTCTCTCTCTCTCTCTCTCTCTCTCTCTCTCTCTTCTCTCCCTCTCTCTCTATCTCTCTCTCTCTCTCCCCTCTCTCTCTCTATCTCTCTCATATTACCGACGATCGTAGATAAGTTCGTTGAGTGCGTATATGTATACAAAACATGAAAAAGTACAAACATGTATTTAAATCGCCCGCAGCTGAGATAAATTACACCACTGGGTGATCGAGAGAAATAGATACTGCACTCTGACGAATAAAAAGACAATATCCTCTTCTAAGGTAATTGAAGTTGCAAGACTAGAGTGGTGTAAGCCGGTGTTCATTTATTTTTCGCTTCACATAACATAATTACTATGAAAGATATAGTTATATAGAATATACTCTATGCTACACTCTTCCTATTTTATTGTATAGCGAAAAATATTTAAAAATTGCTTATGATTAAGATTTCCTCTTCTATAAGGTTTCGATTTGATGTCGAGTCTCGCGAAAGGTAAGATTTATAATTGCATTCTAAAATAAGACGAGTCCTATCACGATAAAAAATTCGCTCATGGTCGTCGCGCAAAATTCGCTTATTCACCGACTGAAAACGGATGCGCATCACGGACCCAGATAGAAAACAGAAGCGGACCGTTTATCTCATTGCGTGGGCGAGATACTTTATAAGTTCAATAACTTTACAAGAGACCCTCGCACTCTTGGTTTAATCTTCGTCGTGCGTCACACTAATCGACGTGGAAGTCGAGATTTCGGTTTCTCATGTTCTCGAAAATAATTGACTCATGTTGATACTATATGCGTAGCGTATTCTGCAATTAAATTCTTTCAGAATTTATTTCTTTCACCCACGAGAATTGCATTGAACCATTAAAAGAAACTATCACGTTAAGCCAAACAATATTACCTAGTCTGATACAACTTATCATTGCCAGGTATAGTCCTTGCCGGGCATTCAAAATGGAATTAAACGAAGTTAACGATCAGGCCGGTCAAAGGGAGGTGATCGCGGAGAATCTTCAGGCTAACGTCCTACGGGAGTTGAACATCTTGGTGAAGGATTTCAAGGAGGATCGTAAGAAACATTTGCAGGAAGGCGCACGACTGATGGCTACTTTAGCCGGCCAGATCGGCAACCTGGAACGCGCTAGGAAGGCTTACGAGAAGGCCTTTCGCGAGGCGGAACGCGCTGTCGAAAACTATCAACGAGCAGACGCAGATCTTAATCTCTCGAGAGCAGAAGTACGTGATAAATTGTTTCTTTTTGGAATAAACGATACATTTTCTGGAAGAAATCTTTAGCTTTCAAATATGTTATTTAATATAGATCTTTTTAAATGAAATTATATAAATGATAATCAATTGTTTTACATCGTGCAGGTCGAAAAACAGAGGATGAACATGACCCTGAAGACTCAGCAGAGCGAGGAGGCTAAAACAGAGTACGCTAATCAGCTGCAGAAGACGAATGATATGCAGACGTTGCATTACCACACAGCGATGCCGGAAGTGTTCCAGCACCTTCAGGTACTGCTTTGTCATAACCGAGTACGATTGCGGGTAAATTATTATTATTTAGTCCTATTTATTGCTAATGTTTCATAACGATATTAAAGAGTATCTTTTTGTTGACATATATAGAATGTTAAAAAATATTGATCGTCATCTAAAAGATTGAAAAGTTTCATAGAAATCATCGCAATATTATTTTATTCAATTTTTTCGACCGTAAAATATGGTCTCCGCAATATCTTCTTATGATATTTTATTATATACAACTATATACTCTATATATAACGCCACAGGAATTGGATGAAAAAAGGATAAAGAACATGCGAAACTACATGATGAAGTCGGTCGAAATCGAGCGGGCGGTAGCACCAATAATTGCTCAATGTCTTGATGGCATCGAAAAGGCAGCGAACGAGATCAATGAAAAAGAGGACACGATGCTAGTGATCGAACGCTACAAAAGCGGTTTCCAGCCGCCTGGCGACTTCCCCTTCGAGGATCTGTCAGTCGCCAAAAACTACGACAGCAATAGCCAACTAGCCCAGCCGGTCATGCAGCCAATTCACAATCACCTCACAGTCAAAGGTACTGTCTCTGGTGGCAAAATCAAGAAGAGGGTAGGCCTCTTCGGGATCTTCAGCAGTAATAAGGTAGATATTCCTCCATGATTCTTTTAGAATATCACTGCAAATTTTTCGGTGCTATTGGGTGCGATATTCTTAATATTTAGAGTGTTCTGAAAGAATGATACGATACGACGATTGATTGTAATGTTTTTAAAATATTATATATGAAGTGAAAAACAATAAATGGTTTGAATTTATTTTTTAACTTGCTAAACTGTATGTTATGTTTTATGAATCTCTATCAGTGTTTCTAATGTCTAATGTATCTAATTTCTAATGTTTCTAATTTCTAATGTATAACTTTAATATCTTTTTGGACACTCTATACATATTAATTCTTATGCAGTTATGAAGTCTCTTTAACGGTTTGATTCTATCATATTATCATCACGATCTTTTGACAACGAATGTGTGTTCAGTAACTTTTCCAAATCCTGAAGAAATGCAACTCTAAAACTTGCACGACTTCGAACAAGGGTTAACGTAACATAACGTAACATAACGTAAAATGATTAACTTATTGCTTTTATAAAAAGAAACGGATAAATAGAATATTGAAGAATATTACAGCATGCACGAAAATCCTTTGAAAACCGCCATTTTATTTTATTATTTTAATTTATTATTTATTGTATATATATATATACTTGCATCTATTCTTACTCGCGCCGACAGGCCTGCGATTTATTGTGCATACAAATTTCTATTGCGCATGTATATTATAGATTTCGCATTCTTTCAAGCAGCTACAGTAACGTTATTTAGAAGCGACTTTTTAGTTACGTTTTGCACACTGTTATTATTATTTGAAGCAATTTTTACGCATCCTTAATTATTTCTCGAAGCGACTTTTGTGTCTGCATACTTTCTGAGAATGCTTTACAATACTATAGAACTATATTTGTCGAAAATTTTAATGAAACTTTGATAAAGTAATTTTGCGAATATCAACTTTTAATCACAGTATATCAAAACAAAAGACGTACTCCCTTCCTAATAATCTCATTAAAAATCGACGAATATAGGTCGGCTATATTTTTATATATTTCAACTGTAATTTGCAATCTCTTTTGTTCTACTTCGCATAATGAAAAGCGTAACTTATTTTTCTTCTATACTTTCTATTAATTTGGTGGATGGTTCAATCTGCCTGTGGCGTTCTTGTTTCCAATCATCACGGGCTATGAATTGGGATATTATCATATTTAGTAAGTACTCCGTAGATTTGCTTATTCGCTCACAGTTATGTATATAATACCAACAATATATCTGTCTTTTAAAAATAAATTACATGTAATATTAAAATGTCTTGTTAGAAGAACGTGAACTCAGCGATTAACATTAACTCTGATCAACATAAGACTAATTTTTTCCTAAAGTACTATATGATTTTCACTATACTTACTACAAAATGTAATTCCTTTAAAATTATATCGCTACTGAACCAAACTGGATTCGATCAAGAGTTTAATATAAATGTGCTTTAAAAAATCAAGAATTCATACATCTCTAAAATGTAAGATTTATGAATCTATAGAATAATTTGTGAAGCTTAAATTAAATTTAACTTACCTTATTATATAGGAAGTTATTATGTAATAAATATATCATTTCTGTAATAAATATATCATTTCTCTTCTCGTATTATGATACATAAAATATTTTTAATATATTGTTTGAGATTAATATTTCTAAGAAAAGTAACGATCTCTGAGTTCTCGCTCATTGAAAGCGAGCTTTTACTGCTAAAAGTCCGTCCTGTTCATTCGCTGAATGATACGCTTTTGGGATTTGTTTCATGCGAACAACAGAAGTTGATCGAGGTGTGCATAGCTTTAAAGGTCTGTCCTTATCTATACAATCGCCGTCACTTTTCGATTAACCCTTTTGGTGCGCTGAACGCTTACAAGTGCTCAACTTGCTTGTCTTCTTTATTCTTTATATGCAATAGTATACAGATGAGACAGAAAGAGACGATGTCTTGTTTGAAGTAGAATTGTGGTAATCAGCAATTCAATTATTCCGCAGAAAATTAAATTGAAAGAATCCCTACATCAGCGAAAGCCACAAATTGCAAAATCCAATCTTAACGAAGTCAATTGGTTTATGTAAGTTTATGAATTTATTAGACTCCCAAGATATTAAAAAAATTAAAATTTAATTGTGTATATCAGGTAACTTATCAAAGCTACAGATTTTGCAGCACCAAGAGGGTTGGACGCTATCCCCATTTTTTAAATTATTACGTTATCTTTATTTTTCATTATTTTATTGCAGAAAATAAATACATTTTATCCATTTTATCCATTTTATCCATTATTGCTTAAAACAGCGAACAGTATTAAATATTAAAATTATTCATTAATATTAATATACTAGCTTCCATTAACTTTCTCGAATCTGTAACGAAAGTTTTCTAACAAAATGTGTTATCAAGTTTTCTCATCATCTTCTTTTTTCTGTTATTTTCTTGAGACCCAGATTACAAGTACGAGAAACTATAAATTAAAAATAAGTAAATTGTTGTACTACAAGATAGTGATCTACTATAGTAAAATTTGATATCGTAACTTATCTAATTCCGAATACATCATAATTGTACTATAATTTGACAGAAATCAGTAGTCTTATTTCAACGGTAACATGCCGCAAAAGATTTCTTGGGTCTCAAGGAATTCTAAGTGTTTGAAACATTTGTGACGTTATAAAATGTGAAACTCATTATAACAAATTTCAGAATAACGTTCCTGGCTACGGTGACGGCGCTAAGGAGGACTGCAGCGATCTGCCACCGAATCAGCGAAAGAAAAGACTGCAACAGAGATTGGACGAAATCCAGGCGAAGATCCAACAAGAGACCGCAGCGAGAGACGGTCTGATGAAAATGAAAGGCGTATACGAACAGAATCCCGCCCTCGGAGACCCGATGAGCATAGAGGGACAATTAAACCAGTCTAGCAATAAGCTGGACAAACTCGGAGCTGAGTTGGCAAAATTTCAAGGCTACCTCGAAGAAGCAATGCGCGCTGGCGTCAGTTTGTCTAGGTAAGAGTGGCATTGTCGAGCAAACCGCTGAAAGATTTGTGCCGTTTGTATAAATAGCTCTTCTACCAGGGAGAGAAAATTCTAATTCAACTAAAAGTAAAAATGTCTAATGTTAGTCTTTTCATGTTAAATGATTTTAGGTGTTTAATTATTTGCACAGTATATAATAATGTGTTTATTTTTACGACTTTTATTCATTATATATAAAATTTTACAAGTTTTACTAATTTTATTATGTTTTCAGCCCAAGTCAAGCACCGCGAAAACCCACTAGTAATGGCTCGGCAACGAGACCGTTAAGTTCACGAAGATCCAGTCACTCGGGTGGTGAAGAGAGCCTTTCGAGGTCCGCTTCGGACTCGAGCGTCAGCAACGTGAACGCGAACCAGCCTGTTCACAAAAAAAGTGCACCGGGCACACCACAGCCGACACATGGGTAAGTCGCCTTGGTAATATACGGTGGAGTGTAATACACTATTTTCATATAAACAAGTCTGAAAACTTTATGAAACTCTCGATTTATAAATTGATTCTATTATCACTTACGTCGAGCGCACTTAAAATTCCACGATTGTTAATTGTTCTACTATTATTATACTGTTTTAGTATTATATCATAAATTCTCAGTTTTTCATAACTCTTCTACGTTCATAAGTTAGAGATATTGCGACGTCTACAGTTTTCATTAAATCGCTCTTATCTTATCGATAATGACGGCCATAAGTAACAGAGATAAAACTTCCGATAATGTAGTATGAGTTACGAGCGTTGCACCAATTTCGTGATTTGGCAAATAAAGCCTCATCATCTGTTCCGAATCAAGTCGCGATTTGATCGCGTGCTACTTCCTTTTGACAAAAATTTTTGGTTTACAATGTCGGTCACTAAAACAAAATAAGCGAGAGTAGACTAGACACTTCCACTAGACAAATAGCCACGGTTTTCGTTTTATGGTACTCATGCACAGTTCCACGAACAGCCCGGAATCTGGCCTCGGCGAATCGAGAACGTCGCTACCCGGTAGCGGTGGTGAGGAGTATTACGTTGACGAAGTGGATGCGCAACCGCCACTGGGAACATGTCGGGCGCTGTATCCTTTCGACGGTAAGAGATAAAGAGAAAGAGAGATGTTCAAAAAAAGATTTGAAAGATGTTCTCGAAAGTTTTTGATGTTTCTCGAAAACTCTTTTGAATCGGACATATAGTTTAAAAGAAACGAAGAATAACAAATAGTCGTTCTCTCTTTGTTATTATACTATTCATTTACATATAATATTTGATAAAAATTTTAATTATATTCTTGCAGCGACTAGTGAAGGTTCTATACCAATGTATGACGGCGAAGAACTATACATGATCGAGCTGGACCAGGGAGACGGCTGGACCAGAGTTCGACGCATTTCACAACCAATCGAGGGCTTCGTACCGACTTCGTACATCGAGTGTCATCTGTACAACACTTAGCCGCTTCTCCTTGAACGTTGAAAGAACAGCGCATAGGGCGGAACCGCTTGAAAGAGATTATTGTCGTGGGCCCGTAATATTTGGCGCCATCGCAGACTCGAGAGTCGTGTGTTAGTTAAATTTCGCACGGGATATTAGACGTGTCAACAAGTAAATAGCAGGCCTAAGCGAAAGCAATGTATTTGAGTAACGTGCTCAAAATACTCAGAGGAAGAACTCGTAGGATCTCATCAAGAATTCTTGAAAACGCAAATAAAAATTCGCAAATCTTGCGAGCGATTTGTACAACCCACAATCGTGAATCTTAAAATCTTTGAACAATTAAAAGTTTTTTGATAATTTGTTTAGACGTATAAAAATTCGCAAACTATTGGTTTCCAAAATCTGTAAATTTCGGAATACTTTTTAAACGAAATACGTAAAAGAAAGAAACTCTGCTTATTGGTTCAAGCTTGCCTGTACTCGCAACATTGAGAATCAGAAAGTCCGCCGAAGCGCGCAATTTAAGATTCACGATCTGTAGAAAGTGTCACGCGATAACATTCTTGATGTAATCGCGTTCACTGACCAATATAACACGCGTAAATTATCTCCAACACACGTCTCTCCAGATTCCTGATTAATCAGGAATGAAAGAATGATATGCGAACAAAATGTCCCGCTTTGTGATCAATCAATATAAGCGTAATAGCGGTAGAATCGAGCTCATTCTTGGGCTTACTAGATCCTTAAGGAAATTAAGCCCTTGTCAGGATTTATTAAGGTGCCGTGGCCTTCGTTCTATATGAAGCCAATTAACAATTGTAGTCTGTTAAATAGTAATTATTCTATCGATTATCTGTTAAATAGGTGTTATTAATGGAGAATGTATTATTTAAAGTTTTACTCTACTATTTTCTCTTGTTCTAATTATATGTTGTTTTAGAAAGGGTTGCGGCAGTCCTACAGCCCTTCCCGCTTCTCTCATTCCGAAATTATTAGTTAATATTAATGGCTGTTGATTCTTTATTAATAATTTGAAAAAGTTTGAAGCGATAATTCATTTTGCGTTATTATTTATCGCGCGAATAATGGACCACATGGTTCTGTATCTTACATTTAGTTTGTGATTCGAAGCTATCGACTAATAATAATAGTTATCGTATTAAACTCAAGAAAATTTTTGTTTTGTATTTACGATTATTATATTATCACTCAGACTGTATATTACGTTTTAACATGTAAATATGTCCCTTTTTTTATTCTGAAGTATTCTTTTGTACGAAGGACTGCGGCAGCTCTGCATATCCATCTATGGCAGAAAACTTGTAAAATTCTAGACAAGGGTTTAATTTATACATCTGTACGATAGCATTATGTCCATCATATGCAGATTCAGTTGTACGCATTTAAAACTTTTAACCCTTGAGCAGATACATAAGTGAGACAGATAAAATTGTTAATTGGAGCGATTATTAGTTACAATCGCGATTAGAACTAGGTACTGAATTATAATTTTAATCATAATTGAAATAATAAATTTTTTAGAAAAGTTAATCTCGAATGAAATTTAAAAAAATTACAACGCGCAATATTCTTATCTTTCTTAAAGTCTGTACACACGGTTTTGGACATATCTGGGTTGGTTTCAATATGGCTTCTATTTTTTCTCAATGCAGTTTGGAACCAATGGCTCAATGAGAGAACTTAACTAGTAATAATAAATCAAAGAAGTTTTCTCATTAGACTATTGCATTCCAAGCTGCATCGAAAAAGAAAATATTCAAACTATATTGAAACTAGTGTACAGATTTTTCATTACTTCTGCAATTGCGGCGATGCGTCTGCTTAAGGATTAAAGCACGAAATCTCCGAAGAACTCGACTGAGACGTCGTCAAGCTGTCCTTGACTCGCAGCTTCTCAAAACGTGTTCTCTTCGCGTAGCTGTACACGAACGAAATATTTACGACCCCGTTAAAGAAAGTAAACTATCTTAGTATTAATAATCGCATCCCGCCTACTCGTCACTCGTAAATTTATCGTGACTGCTGTAACCGTCGCCGCACCGAAGTTTTATCGTTCTTTTATAAACTTGATTCGACGTCGTAAAAGGCAACTGATTGTTTCGCGAATGGCCCACTGTCACGCTGAGAGAACAAGAGACTGACATTTGCTAGAGTTTCATCATACTCGTTATCCGAAATCTTGCACTCGTGCTTGTAATCAAAATTGCGAGATATGATGAAATTTTGGAAATCAAAAGTGTGAAATTAAGATTCGATTAAATAATTTTAATCGACTTATTTGGAAGCTAGAATTTGCGGAAAATTATCAAATTCCGTGAAGAAAAATATTAATACATTATATGTTCATATATATTAGAGTTGTGAGACCGAGAACCTTTAGAGCGGACAATCCTCGCGGATCCGTTGACAATGGCATCGAGAGTTTTACCTTTACATTCACCAATTCGGTGCGACGAAAAGTGAGCCGTTCCGGCGGAACAGTCCGGTGTGCCATGTTTATGAAGTTGACTGAATGTGAATCTAGTTAGTGATAGACTTATGTAAATATTGCCAGGAATGCGGGAGCGGGAAAACGAAGCGAGTGGCCACTGAGCGTGCGAGTGCCAGAATCGATATTAAGCTGCGCAGAACTCGCTTTCGTCACGGGTAGAATCGTAAGCAAAATGTCTCTGAGAAAATTCGCGACGTCTGAAATTCTGAATTCAGATATTCGATATAAGGGAGATTCGCGCGAACGCAAAAACCTGCCACGTTCGTCCTAATTTTGCGAAATCTGGGAATCGTGTAATCGTACTTTCTCGCGCATTGACAAACTGTATATGTATATATTATATATATAGATATATATATATATATATATATATATATTCGATCGACAAAACAGGCGTAGCTTCACTACAGCTAAAAGTATAAAAGTACATAAATGAACATGATCAATAGTTTATCTACACTCTCACACACACACACACACACACACACACACATACACAAACCCTTCCTGCTTTTCGTCGCGACTGCTTCCGGTTCGTTAACGACGAAAGCAAGTGAAATGCTCGGTAATTATGTTAAGACAATGAAATGAAATAATGGGCCACTGTGTGCCCTCACGTTTAACTGTGTCTGTTCTATGTATATTTTGTGATTTTCTATACACGAACAAGTATTGTAGATAACTAATTCTGCGATTCATTATACTTTATTATTATTTTTATTATTATTACACTATTATCATTATTATTAATATTGAGAAAATATAGGTACTAAACCAATGTAGCTCTTTCAGACATGTTAATTGGACTAATAATTGTGCCTTCCAATATCCAGATATCCTTTGCATATAGAAATTCTATTTTATATCGTAATGTATATACTATTGGGCTTATTTGTTTAAGGTAAGCTTTTTATAATTTTCCTATTCATAGCATCTAGATATACTCAATGTCAAGATATTTAATACTTTCTGTTTCATAAGTAATCACTACAGATTTAGCTGTATATTTAAGATGAAATAAGTATTCATACACTAAGTTTGGTCTTGCCATTACTTATATCTCGCATTTGTTTATATATTTCGCAGCCGATAATTTGGCCAAAAAATGCTTTCTATGCTTTCGGCTGACGAGGAAAAAACGTAATAAAGCGCTTAATTTTTAAAAATAATATAATCATTTTTTAAAATAATATAATCATTATATGCGCGTGAATATATTTATACAAAATATAATAAAATAACTAATATAGAATATACGTGTTGAGTGGTGCGATACGAGCGCATCGAATCTACTTGTTTGGATTCTGCAGACCGACGTAACACAACATCTTTTTCTCTTTTCTCTAGACAGGATGCTTCAAATTGAAAGTGCTTTTACCGGCTGAAAGCGCAAATATTCGTGAGTGTTTCACATCAAACAGTTGCTCGAAATAAGTCTAACTCTCATTTAATCTCAAAGCTTTTGTAAAATATTATTTTGAATAATAATGTTTTTTTATCAAAGAACATCGTTTTCTTCCACTAAATAACAGTTTTTAGAAATAATTTACTTAATAGGTTAAATTAATTATTTTAAATAATTTACTTAATAGGTTAAATTAATTATTTAAATTTTTTAGAATTTGTTTTAAACTATTTTTTGTTTAAATGAACCATTATATTTCGTTAAAAATCTAAAAGCAGACATGGAGAGTTCACTGGTTCACTAATAAATATTCGTTAAATATTCGTTATATAAATATTCGTCGCATGTTGTTACGTTGGATGTTAGTAACTAATGCTAGTAACTAATATTACAGAAATAACAGGTCTAGATAAAGTGTGCGATTCTTAGACCTGTTATTTTTGTAAAGTTAGTTCCGAAATCTCCGCTACGTGCCGCCTTTGTCACCAATTTAGAATTGAGGTAGTAATAGATTTAAATTGAAGTAATAATAGATTTAAGTTAAAAATAGAACAATTGTGGTGCAGTAAATAATAGAGAAAAAAAGAGATATATTTGTACAAAATATAGTAAAATATTTAACATGCTTGCTTGAGTAGTGCAGTACAAGAATATAAGCACTTATTATGTTTGAATAAAATTTTATGCACGCCTATTTGCAAAATCTGGTTGTGCAGAGACATGGATAACAATGTAAAAAACAAGTAAAAGTTTTTGTGGCTAAAATTGCATCTCCCGAACAGAATATCTAGAATATCTAATGTGGAACATGCTTGCTCGGAATCCTGCGTGATCCGATGGAAATGCGGTTTCCATCGTGATGACTTATTTTTATAGGAGAATAGTGTTATACGTTTAAAATTTTTTTCTCGCTCACCTGGATTCACACCTGTCTGTCACATGACAAACTTTCAGGGCTTATTACTCGAGAACGCGTGATCCAATGTCAATGCGGTTTCTATAACGTTCACTTATTCTGATAGCACAATTAGCTGTAGTTATTGGAGATTTGTTTCCGCTTAGAATCTCAACTGTCTTACTTTCTAGGCCTATTACTGGAGAAGATATAAACTGATCTTAATGCGATTTGCAATGGTGATTACTTATTCCAATAATACAAATATTATGATTGATTTACTTTTGAAGATATTAATTTGATTATTCTTTGACAGACTCTGTATATGTGCTTGTACATATACATATATCTCAACGGATCAAGGTAAACTACTTATGTTTCTATTAATGAAACGTGTTACATGTGTGAAAGTACTGTACACTTACGATATCGTAAAATTAGTTATGACTTAGAATTAATTTACGACGACTTTTCGAAGGTTTAATTTTTATCTTGTAGAATGTTGCATATTATTTTCTGATTAAAATTGTCCAACTGTTCCATAATCAATGTGTTATTTTTCATTAAAATTATGTTTATTCGTGAATGTCATCGTATAAATTTTTAATAACTGATATGTCGAGAGTTTTATTGAAAAAAAGTCGAAACAAAGTTTAGATTAACATTATGTGTTTCAATTCACAATATGAATCATTTCGACATATTGCGAGAATACGACGATTATGACTTAGAATACAAATTGTAATACAATGATCTTTGTAACTAAGATGCGGACATTCAGTTCGTAGACTAGGAATATTTATTGCGAAATCAGATAATCGAAGGAAAAGAAAAGTTGTGTTTTCAAACTGTTATATCGCATCGTGTTTTGAAATGTGTTTGTGGATCCTTGGATGTATAAAACTAACAATTTATGAACTCTAGTCAAATATCTTGGATCTAAGATATCGAGAATCTACAAATCAAAGATTTCACATATTGTAAGTTTTGTAGACCCGTAAAAATTGATCTGCAAATCTACAAATCCGTACATCCAAGGGCGCTTGACTAGATGGAAAGAAGAAGAAAGTACAGAAAGCTAAAAAAATTTAAGATTGTAACCGTTACTCGCAGTGTTGTATTCACAAAACACATACAATTTTATGTGTCCGTACAATTTTGCGAAAACGTGCAAATTTGCATTGGCAGATTTTGTAATTTTTCTTCGCCAAATCCATACGGTAACTATTTATTAGTGTGTATCTGTCTTTCGTCACTCTTTAACTCTTTGTACTCGATTTCTACAAAATCCAACTTCATTTGAAATTTATAAATTTATATTGCATACTTTTCTTTATATATACATCCAAATTAAACATGCACCTAAAAATTAAGGAACTTTTCAACGTACGTAATTTACGGTAGAGTCCGCGCTTTTTATTTTTATATATTTTTATTATTTCGCAATATTTTATGAATGTGTAGAATATCACTTTGTATATAACATTGTGGTAACATTCTGTTACGTTATGTTACATTGTATGTCATGTTCACAATACTCGAGTGCAATGAGTTCAATATTAAAGAGTGTAGAGCGGTATGTATACATAAATCGGCAGTCCGTAGCGGTAAATTGTCCATAGCGTTAACAGACAACAATTACGTTAAAAATATCGTCGATACAATATGCGCCCATGAACGACACGCTATTTCAAGAATTCAAGGATTCGCAGATGCAAACTTTCTTATTTATTGCTTGAAAAATTTGAATCTCAAAGAATCCGAGATTTCAAATTGTTGAGATCTTTGTTCTAGGGAAAATCTTGCGAATCTAAGGATTTAAAACGAAGATTAAAAACGAAGGATTCTCCGTTTCAAAAATGTCCCTAATATCTAAAAAAATTTCAATATTCTGGGAGGCAGAAACCCTTGAATTCAATGAAGTATCGCAACATCACCGCTGTCCTCCACGGTTCGTCTGTATCGCGATAAAATCTAAAAATCCACGCGGTACAAAAGAAACACGAGGGATTGGTCGATTTCTCCATGAGATCGACAGCTGATCCGCAGTAATAAAATACAGATTCTAATAGCATTTACAAATACAATACAAGCGGACCTTTTTATTGATTGGCGATCCGCGCGGTTACCCGTTATCACACACAGTCCGTCGCGTTATCACTGTATAAAAATTGTCGATGCTACTGCTAGTCCGCGAAGTCTTGAGCAATCTTCGTCGAGAGGAGGCGAGGACGGTCTCGTCCTGCAGCCGTCTTTCGCGAAAGATCGGCTACTCTCACTCATGTTCAAACTTTCAAGTTCTCCCAGTCTTCTACCTGCCGAGGACTCAGCTCGATTTTGATCCTAGTCAGAGTGCTCAGAAGATCGTGTATCCTGGCCGATAACGGGTTCGCCTGCAGATCGACAAATTCCAGAACAGGTGCGTGCCTGAGTCTTTCCACGTCGACTTCTGCAAGAGCGAATAAGTGAATTCACCGGCTCAAATCGAAGAGAAATAAAAATCATGTGTTACATTTCTATTCAACACTATAAAACTTAATTTATTAGATTAGTCAGAAAGTTTAGTTTGATCTTTACAATGAGTCATACACAACACACCCCGGGGAAAAAAAGTTTATATATGAATTTTGTTCATATATGGTTATGTATGATCATATATAATTATATATGTTTTTTCAATTGACATATATAATTATATATGTCAATTGGAAAGAATACTATTGAAAATACAATTGAAGTAAATGCTTATATTTATGGTAGCCCATGATGTCGACGTTTAATCGAATCAAATTATATTTTCCTTTTTTCATTTAACAATTTTCATTTTATATATGGACATATATAATTAGATATGATCATATATAAGGTCACATATATGGACAAAATTTATATATAATCATATATAATCGTATATTTATTTATAATTATAATCTTTTTTTCCCGGGATATATATATATATATATATATATATATATATCATATGTATATATATACTACAATGCTGATAATTTTCAGTAACCACAGAACGTTAGCGGAGGATCATAGACAACAATTCTTTGATCGATAAATCACTTGTTTTCATTGAATGCAATAGAGACGAACTTGGTTCGAACCGAACTTTTTGATTAACCCTAAATGTTTTTACGGTGATACAATTATATCATAATTGAAATCGATAATGTTGCTATGTTCGGATTGTGATTACGACCGCAGTTCGTTACGTCGTCTCTGTGACTCCGCTCCGCGACCGCGTGTCAGCAGCTGATCGCTGCTGAAAGTATCTTATGTAACCACCAGTTGATCGATACTGACCGATGATAAAATTGTTGTTGGCCAGGAGCCGCTTGAGCTGCGGCATCCGCCAGACGACAGGTGGTAGAGTGACGAAAGTATTGTGCGAGATGTCAAGTCGTTCCAGAGCCTGCAGCTCGGCGAGCTCCTCCGGCAGCTTGCTCATTTGATTGTGACTCAAATTCAGTTCTACAAACGACAACACAATGACACGTGTAAAACGCGACGTAAAGAGCGAGTAATAACGATGTTCCTTTCGAGCGAGAGTCAATTTCGTAGCCGTGAAAGGAGGAGTTTTCTTTAGGATAAAACGAATGGACGATCTAACTCGAAAGTACGCGCGCGCACAATGCAATTTATCACTCACCGGTAATCAGCGAGAACTTGACGGCGAATTTCGCCGGGATCTTCGTGATCACGTTTCCGGAAAGATCGCATCTCTTCAGTTCCGTGTGTCGCATTAAGTGATAGACCGCGTCTGGGATCTGCATGAGTTGGCACTCCGATAGGTCTAAGGCATAAAACGGCAGAACATATAATTTCCTAAAAAAAATATAATAAATGATGGCAGTACACGCTCGAAACGCTTTCGATTGACACCTTTCGCGTTTAATAAAATAATAAAATAGTTTACCGCGATTTTGTAATATTTGACAACACATATCTTGGTAATTGAATCATGCAGATTATGATATTCGGAAAGACAGAGAATCTGCCATCGGTATACCACGAATATAGTTAATTACGAATACCCGGCGATTGATTTCCTCAAAAGTTTTTCGTTACTCAACAAAAATGGAAATACACCAGTCTAGGTACATCATAATGGCTGAAAGTGCACTTAATGTCGGTACAACGAGTTTCACGCTTTCTCCGGCGCGGTTTCCAGCACGGAAGACCGCCGACGCTGACGTCAATTTGAAGCGGGAGCCGCGAGCGCGTTATGGAACAGACGTATTCCGCGTTATATATTTATCGATCATTGCGATCGTTCTAACGGCGGAGCATGCAGTTCCGGGAGGATAATGAATACCAGAATTGTTAAGCGCGATGCGATAACTCGGCGAATAAACGTCGGATTTGTTAAACTTTTATAAAATCAAACAAACTCTCATAAACCCCTCAGACTAATGGTTGAAAGACCGATCTCTCTCGCGTCTCTCGTGTTTCTCCTACAGCTGATGAAACTAGGCGCGTGATTTAATTCGCGCCAACTGGGAGTGGGAAATAATCTCACGGAAACTGCGGAAGCATCGATGAATTGCGAATTCAAAGCGTATGTATCAACTATACATCGTATCAGTCTATACTTTGGTCGAATTTCCTTTCAACACGTTAAACATATTAAATGACGAGATTTCAAACGGTAAGAAACATGTAAAAAGAGCTTCAGCCAACTTGCACGCTTATACGTTTAAAATAACACTTGAATTTGCAGCGTACGATCGAATTCTTGCGGACACAAGAGTATCGCGACGTATCTCTTTCCGCACTTTCCCAATTCCCACTGCATACAATCCGCGCATCAACACAACGTGTATTACGAAAGCACGTGGAAATACGTGACGGATTTGAGCTTACTAATGGTCTCTCTTCCGAATCTCGAGTGCGCGAGCGAGAAAAGTCGTATAATTGTGCGCGGACGACCGCACCGCCGAGCACTTTCACCGAATTCTGCGATAGCTTACCAAGGCTCTCATTTTCCTGTGCCTCTTCGCAGCGTAAAACCACTCTAGTCACTGCGTGCGCCATGTTGGCCGTCGCACTGACTCACCGAGGCGGTCCAACTGCGCTTGAAACATTTATTTCCGCCCGTCTCTCTCCGAAATAAATCTCGCGACCTCGCGCCGGCCGTGATTTTCATTGCGCTTCTTGGAAACCAGGAAATCAGCGGTACGCGCGAAAGAAAACGGAAACTTTCTGATGCAACTGCCGATGCCCGCGAGCTATGATCATATTAATTTCAGAGATCGAAAGCTCAAGACGTCGAATTTTTCGTAAATGTCCTATAACTTTCTTGACGACTGAAATTTTCAGTTCGCGGACTTGATAGTTATTTCTCAATATCTCTCTTGTATATCACAGCGGCCGCTAGTTAACGTGCGCGCGGTCGTTTTTTCGCCACAAAGTGGTAAAAGAGGTCCGACAGCAAGCTGCCATTTAAGGTCGCGCTGCCTTTATACGGAAACTCCTCGCATCGTAGACGCGTCTGTGCGTTTCGCACTGGAAAATTCCTGCGTTTTTTAAATTCGCGAATCTTTCTCGCACGCGATGCACGTCTTCAGCCTTAACTCTAACATACACGTTGAGGTGAAACAATGTTTATAACAGCAATTGAGTTTATTGTGTCTAAGATAAGTACATCTCAAAAAAAATTGCTCAGTACACAATTAATACATTTCGAATATTGAATATCTGATCCAATGTTTAATTGATTTCATATCGTAGTTTAAATTAGATCTAGATTTAGTATAGTAGTTGAGCTTCAGTATGAGAGATATAAAGAGAAAAAACTTTACTGTTTCAAAATAAAAAAAGAGTATACGGAAAGATACTGAGCAGGCAACTATTCAACTTTTTATTGATAATTACGATAAATCAGTCTTGATATTTAATTTTAGCAACGCTCAGCTGACTGATACAAATTTAGCGAAGACCTGATGCTGCGCTATAGCTTCACCGACGTACGTAAGTCTCTGGAGTGTCAGCAGTTCCGTAGTCAAGTCAGAAGATTCTATGATTCTCGAATTTGGATTAGAATCAGGAGTGGAAAAAGATCCATAGCGGCCGGAGATCGCGAAAGTTATGTCGCGATTTTTAATCACCACATTTCGGTCGCGTGCACTTCGCGTTTAATATACGCGGGCGTGTATGTAATAAAAAGATTTATAAAGAAGGAACAGCCTCCCGGCGGTATTCGCAATGGCGTAGATCAGCATTGCCAAGGCTCCGCTTTACTATTCCGAGATCGACCTTTCGCGCGTACCGGGTGTCCCGCGATACACATGCGATCACGACGCGCTCCTCGCTCGCGCGAAAGAGAGAGACAAAGACCGGATGCGCGTTGTGTAACGCAATGTTTATCCAGTCAATTATCTATGCCGGAGTATGCCCGAGCGAGCATTTCACTTTTATCCAAGCTGATGCACGAGAAACGCCACCCAGTAGCTTATTTATCCGTTCCTGTTCAATTCGTAAACGTCGCCATCAACGGAGCTTCGTATTATTTGTATTATTAATTACTCTAACAGAATCTTGTAACTCGATGTACGAATATCGTATGTCCACTCTTAACGAATCTTCAGTCGATCATATTAATTTATTTTTCTCATTATGAAACGATTTTGTATATATTATTTTTTAATATGTTAAAATTTTCCTGAGTTTTTTACACACCGAGTTTTACTAATTTTTACCATGACTAGGATTATCGCGATTACGAAACGGCACGGAAATGTGTTCCCCGTCTGTCATGTGATCAATTTTACACGACGGGTGTGTGATTCGTACTTTCTACAAAATTACATTGTGGCTTTTTGCTAAATCTTAACGGAAGATCGCAAGAAGATCTCTTTCTCTCGCGACAATCACAGATACACTTTTAATCGACGTCGCTCGCTTCCTCTTTGTTTTCCCTGCGTAACAACAATGTTGCGTGTGTGAAAAATATGCGTATCTCAAATTTAACAAAAGGTAGGAGAGTCATTGATATCGCGTTAATACATCAGATAAGATAGATGACAATACGCAAAAAAGTTATTGCGATTTTGCTGTTGTCGATACAATGACCTCAGTTATCCCAATTTAGTAATTGATGTACAATACAAATCTTTGCTTCGTAATTTTCAATCTGCTGTGGATTTAAACCTAATTAGAAAAATTCTTGATATATCACCGACATTTTTTATAAATTTACCAGTTTTATCAGTTCTTCATTTTCATCCAAGTTTGAAACATAGACTTTAGATCTCACCGAATCATGACAAATTTTTTTGCGTATCTTATGAATATTCTTTCGACGCCATGTTGTCCTTTTAAAAATCTTACGGTTGAATCAATTTTAACGTTTATAAAAGTGGAAAACTATAGTTCATGCAAAATAAAAAGTTTGCGATGAAATGTGAAACACAATACTAACACATTAAAAGTAGCAAAAGTGGTAGATCATCAAGGTCGTACGCGTAGACGACGATACGGATAAGGTAAGGGTGGAAGTCGTCTTGAATCAGGAAGTACCATGAGCATAATGTACTGACGTGCGCGTATATGGCGTTTACAAGCTAGACTTCCTTGTTAAAAGTAATTAACTGCATTTTTTAGATGACTTTAATTAAATGTCGCTGTATTAATAATGTTAAAAATCTGTTAAGCCAAGAATTTCCACGTTTGTCGTATCAAACATGCTTACAAAGTCGATAACTGTATTTACCGGGATATCAGATTCGTGATAACAAAGTTAAAGAATATCTCGAAGGACTAGACATCTTTCAAACATCTGAAGGGATCTTTCAATAATTTAAAATACTTTTAAGGATTCTTTTGAAGGATTCTTTTAAAGAAGATATAGTAGAGATCCAGAACGTCTTTTGGGTGTTTGAAAATAGTCCCAAAGATTTGGGATACTTTACTTCTCTCGACTTACCTAGATTGCAATTATCCTGGGCTTCCTCGCATCGCGCGATCACCCTGATGATCGCGCGACCAGCTAGTTGCACGCAGACCGCCATCGCGACATTTCTCTCGCCTTGCTCCTGTGAGATCTGCTGCACCTCCTCGGTATTATACGCGGGTGGCCTCATGATGATTGTTTCTTTACACTCTCCCTTATAACGAGAGATTGATAATTTACGCAACAATTGTAGCGTTCGAGTGTAAGTTCGTCGGAAATCAGTACCGATCTTTGCACGTTTGTCGAAGGATTATTAAATGGCCTTTTGCGAGTAGATTAAATATCTTAATTGTGAAAGGTTTAATATAAATTTCGTGATATTTATATCGGTCTCTCTTCTTTTTGACTTCGCTACGTCGCTATCATATCATATGAAACGAGCAGTCAGTATCCTTTCTATAACAATGGTTATCAATTTAACGTTAGCTCACCGATGTGAGTCACTGTTAAAGATTCAAGAATGAGCACACGATAAGTCCATGTATCGGAGATGTAAATAGAATTCCAAAAGTCTGTCCTTGTGAAAGATTACTCCAGGATGGAATCAGGATGAATTGACGCACAAATTGGATCTCCTCAGGATCAAAATAAAGTACGACGCGTTCTTCTATCGGGACACCACTCTCAAACTCCGAGTATAGCTTTTCGACCTCTTCAACGTTCACCAGGACGCAGTAATCCTCTGTGATGTTCGCGCGATCGGGATGACAAAACCCCTTGATCGAAGAAAACCTCGTCGATTTCGATCGTGACCAACGCGAATTTCGAAGGAACTTCGACGGTACGCAGATCCTGTAGTCAACTTCCTGCGCAAGTCGATCAAAGAACAAAGTCCTTGCAATTGACAGGTCGTCAGTATCTCGATATATCTTAGGACCACTACGGCTCAACTACCGAGACTCGTTTCAGGTAACTCCGTCTGGCACTAGAATGCAAGAGTACACGCGGTGCTATTTAAGCCTTCGCCATTTCCCCCACTCACATGAAGGAAGCGTCTCGAATCAGCTGACTACTTTGTGTGTATGTACTCTCCCTCTCTTTGTTTGAAAACAACTGCGACCAGGTGGATACGACATGCACGACGTGCGATCTGTCAAATTTGATGTCAAGATTTCCGCGTTAGAGCCGCTAAGGCTTTCCATCAAGGTTTTCCTGTTGCTTTAACAATTCTTCGCGATTCTTTCGACGTCCTTGTTTGAATATTCGTAGAGATTATTTAAACAATTAATTTAAAAAATTGTCGATTAAAAACTACGAAAATGCAGTTCGACAAACTCAATATCAATAGTGTTTTGTCGCTGTTTTAGAATTTCTTCGGTACTTAGAACTTATAAAATTTGAAATTTGTGTTCTCTCGAACCTGAAGAAAACATCTCGACAATATGAATCGGAACTTGTTAAGAGCTACTTTCAACCAAGGTTCTTTTTAAGATTTCTTTGAGTATTTCATCTTTCAATCACTTTTCTTAATGATTTAGAACAATGTTTTGATTTCCTAATTATCGACGAATTATTAAAAGCTAATTTCGATTTAAAATGAGCAGTTAATCCAAGTATATCAAAGTATTCAAGAAAACTTAGAATCAACGTACGTCAAACGTACGATGAGTTCCAAAAGTTTAATATTCAAGAATAAACAACACAAGAATTATATATTCTTTGAAGTATGATTCATTTCGATATAGCCCCTTCGTAAACACGAGTTGACGAAGCGTAGGGTCATCAAGATTACACATTGAAACGAAAAAGCCCCAATGTCAGCTTTGACGCGCATCAAGCTTTTCGACTGCGCAATTCTTTGGACAAAGAAGTTGTTCGAAGAAAATATAACTCTCCTCCCGTCAGACATTTTTTCGCTTTTCTGAGAACTGTAATTTTTATATCATTAAAAAGTTACCATTACTAATATTCGTTGAATATGTAATTAGTAACTATTTAGTAGCTAACGAAATATCGATTGTTATACACAAAATCATACAAAAATATTTTTTTATCGAAATTCAAAGCATTAGAAATTATGACAAATAACACTGACTCTGAATATTTAAAAAGATGCGGAGACATATTCTTGTACACAAATCACGTATATCTGATTATGCTGTATCCACGAAATTCGTTTACTTAAAATTGAGTAAACGTATATATATACAACGAAGATCAATAATACGTTATAAATTACGTTACGCCGGCAAACTACCCACTGCGTCATTCCGTATTTTCTTGTACGAAAACTACGACTTTTTCCGTCGTTTCACATTACAATTTCTTAAATTAATTTTATGCGCGCTAGAACGCGTGTAACATGATTATTATCTCTTCACAAAAAAAAGGACAAAAATATCTACTACTTGCTGCGGATATTATCGTCCCACGAGAATCGTCGAACAGCTGATTCGCGGAAAGCTCCGCGGAAAGCTCGCAACAAATGCTCTCCGTTTTTTATCCGTGCCATTTAGTTTACTATGTGCAATTTACGGTAATAATATTTGGAAGAGCGTAGCGCACAGGCGGTGCGTCACTCTTTCGCCGTAATAGCGCATCACAGTGCGCGAATATCTGGAATTTGCGAAATTGCCAAAAGCGCCATTCGCGGACAAAGCGACTCGCTGATTTTTGCTCAAATTTTATTGTACGATCGAAATCGCGCGTTTTCGGCCGGAAAATACAGCAATAAAAGAAATCGCGACGCGTTCTCGCAAACGAATCTCACACCGGCGTCTTTTCGACCGTCGCGACCGTCGCCTCTTTTTATGCATTAGAGGACTTTGCTCTCCATTCATTGTGAAGCTCAGTACCCCAACAGGGATAAAATGTTTATACGGTTCCACGGTATGCTTGGCCCGTGGCCAGAGGATACTGCGCGTGCATCTCGCCAACGAAAATAGACAGCCGCGGGCCAAAATCCCCCATGACTTCTTCTTCTCTTTCGTCGTTTTCGCCGTGTACGACGTAGGACGACGCGGAACGATGAATACTAAAAACGAGAGAGAATCTCGGTGGATGCGCAAATCCAAGGACGCAAATATCGCTTCAGTGGTACGTATGAAATGCTGAATAGATCCTTCGGGATCTCCTCAGGACTTAAGGTTCCTCTTCCTTCAATTCCTAAATTTGTACATATATATATCCTGATATGTTCAAATCTTTGGGCTCCCAAAACTCTCGCTGGTCCTTGGAACTCCAAATCATGTGATCTTGAATGCTCATCCTATGTTTTTTCAGACTCCTAGATCCTGTTATGTGTAAATCTTCGTGTTACCTTGATCCTTGCATCTCTTCACGACTCTAGATCCTTCGTCTTCCGACAAATCCTGAATCTACGCTGAAATCGCTACGAGCATGTTTCAGGGTCTGCGCGCGTTAAATTATGAACGGCTCATCCACCGCGCCGAAATAAACTTTCGCCGTTCGCGAATATAAACACACTTTATTTAAGACACTACAAACCATCGGCATACGCAGAAGGAAGCTGGTTTGCACGGACTTCTGCGTCGGTTAGCCGGCTGACTTCCGTTCGCGTCGTCCGTCGCCTCGTCTTCGACGGAGAGTAACGTCGGGAGGGACGTCGGAGGGACATCTTGGCTCGCACCCTCGCCAAGCAGCGAACGTTGGCCCTGCGAAGAGAGAGAAAGAGACCGTCGTCGTTGACGTTCGTTCTTTGTACACGCGATCACGTCCTCTCTACTGCGCCGTCGGTCGTCTTCGTATTTACCAGAAATCGTCCGCACGAGCGTCAGCGGATTCGCAAATGTACGACCTGTGTACCTTTTGACGTTTCATCGTATTGCTGTTTTGGATACTTCAGGGTTTTATCATTTTATAAAATCGAAGCCTCCTCTCGAATTCGCTTCGCGATCGAACTAACTGAGTCAATTCTTTCTTTAACAATACAATGCAAAAGTAGAACGCAAAAAATGTCCTAGGATCTTAAAAAATGCAATTGCAAGTGAGATGTACAACGAGTTTCGTTAGACGCGAACACGTCAATCCATCTCTGTTTTTCGCGAACATACACGTGACGGAAACGTCGTCCGCGCATGTGACGCGTGCGACCTCGATTTTCGCGAATGTCTATTTTTCATCGCGGAATTTCCCCGACGCGAGCAACACGACCCGACGACGTGGCCCGTCCGTCGGTGACTTTTATTGCGACTTTTGCGTATCTCCTTAATAACACCACCACCACCAATGCCGGCCTCTTTTTCGGTGCTTTTTCGTAACACGTGTACCTTTATACGAAGGTGAATCAAAAAGTAAAGATACAAAAACCTCGTACATGCAAAGTACAGTCTGCTAGGCTTATCAATTAAGCTTAAGAGAATAAAATTTTCTCAAAAGCTTCACACTGTATTATTTCATTTCTGGATTATATCGCTTCTCCTTTTGATTGCAGCATCTTCCGGCAAGAAAGCGCTATCCGTTTTTAATTCAAAAACTGAACATGCACCTAAATTTCTAAATAAGCCGACAGATTGCGGGTGAAAGATACACACTAAAGCGTATTGTAAATAGTGCGAAATCGAATGATGCTCGTTTAACAATCTATATTCACTATTATATTCATTTTATATATATATGTATTAACAATGAGCGACAATACATCAGTTCGCAATTGCGAGACGCACAACACCTTAAATTACGGCCACGCGAAACTGCTTATGGATGGATTTTGCTAAATAACGAAGATATCTCGTTTGTCTATCGAATGTACTGTGAACGATTGAGAAGTCAGTCGAAAATTCGCATATGATTTGTTTCTTCGCACTGGTCGTGGTCGTCGATACCGATCACGTTAGGCCAAAGCGGTAAAATTCTTTGATTATAGATTGAACAATCGGAGGCCTGTATTTACACCATGCATTTTGCGTTAAATGCAGTTGTCTGATCGCCATCGATACGCCATCGAACTGTCTAATTTTAGACAAATTTTAGAAAGCAATAGGGCAGCCGCATCTGCCGCTAAATGCAGCGTTAACTCTTTCGCTTTAGTCTCCTTAATATTGTAAACGTATATATTATTTGCACAAATTTGTAGCGTGTGGACATACTGTATAGTTTAATGTCATTATCGGTATTTGTTGTTCCAAAGCTTATGGATATGTTCTGAATTATAAGTTTATCATTTGGCACCATCTGCGATTCTTGAATGAAATGGAAAAAGAGACACGTGATCGCGTCGTGTAGCATGAGAGCTGCGTTTAAAATTAATATTCTGCGCGTAATTGTAATTCGACGGCGAATTATTTAACGTATGAATATTATAAGCAGAAAAACATTATATAATTTACGTAGATAACGATAGCATATATCAAAATCAGTCCTGCCAGTTGTCTTGTGTCAGTCAGTTGAAATCTCGAAAATGGTCCAGAAAAGATTCTCGCAATATCCGTGAGAGAGTATAGAAACAATTCACGATATATTCTTTTTTAATAATAAAGATTCGATACTGAAAGGATTAAATGGAGGTATGAATACACACCAAAGTCGTTCCGCCAAAAGAACAAACGTGAAGTCTGAAAATATTATCGGGAAACGCGCTGAGTGTCCATTTATCACACGAGTTTTGGCGCAATGCACGCGCATCGTGCATCGTTATTCAACAGCTGTCTGATTATCCTATGATTACATCGAATCATCGTCACGATCTACAAATCATCCCATAAATACGCACACGGACAACAACCTATTCTTCGCTTCGCGTATCCTTAGATCCACGCGAATCCTTGATGTATACTGCAGTAAAATTATTTTGAGACAACATACCTACATATGTATATTAGGTATTCGAGTCGTGCTGTTTTTATGGAAAGCTTTATAGATAGCATGCATCTTTTTGCGAGCGAAAGCGTCCATTACTAAGTGTACGCGCGGTTCCTACAAGTATCGTTTGCAATAATCTATTAATACTAGTCTCAACGAGTTTGGTGTTCTCTGTTGGTGAACAATGTTTCATCGCGACAACGTCTCTGAGTATTATTCACCTACGTATGAATTACGTATTTGGAATTGTAACACGCGAATCGATAACATTACTAGAAGCCCTTGCGTACACAGAATTTTCATGTATTTACGTGTGCACGCGCAAAATATATACACACAGATACACAAACTTCGATTATATAACCCTGTGAAGCGCGACATTGAAGAACTAGTTTTTAAATCCTCTTAATTTCATTTTCAGAATATTGACTATGAAAAACACTATAATAATTGCTTATATCAAATTCTGTAAATTAAACGAGATATAGATAAGATTATCCGAAATCTTCGGAGAAAAAACCGCGTTTGCAAAACTTCACTCGCGCCATTTCCTGTTGAAGATTGGCCATTACAGGGTTGAAAATCGAATCAATCGAATGAATAGATAACTATATATCGTCTATTCGACATCCACGTGAGTGACGTTAAAATTCGATCAATTGACTAATGTAGAATATGTTTTGGAACAGCTATGGCATAACATTTTAACTCATCCCTTATGTTGCTCCGTAAC